AAAAAAAAAAAGCTTAATACCATTAATAAAAAAAAAAATATGATAAATTAAAAAATCTATATCCTGCTACGCAATAAAAAGAAGACTGAAAAAATAATGGGGAAAGAAGTCCTTATTTTCATTAATTTTGGTGAAAATAAATCTAAGGTTTGAATTAATAAAAATTATACATCATTCATCTTTTAGCATTTTTATAGCTAACCTAGTTTTGTTTCTTAATTATCTTAAAGACTAATGTGAAAATTTAAACTGTAGGGCTTTAAAACTTGATATATTAGATAATGTACATTATATTTTATTTTTTATATGAACATGGATAAATATTTTTAAAAAGTAGCTACCGAACGATGAAAAATTCATAAAAATAACTATGAATGTATGTTTTTTTTTTTATAGTTTTGTTATCATGTATTATATGTCTTTAAAAACAATTAGGCCCGCACTCATTTTACGAGCTAGATCGGCCTCTGTTCACAAGTGACCTTTTACGTTTAACATCTCTAACCTTAACTAAGCATGTACAATCGTGTATTTTTCTTGTTCATCTCAACATATATTATCCACTGTCGTGACCAGAAACCAGAAACTTATAAAACCATTTGATCAAATAACAAAGTCACTGAAAACATTTGGCATCCTTTGCACAACTGCAGAAAGCCCTCACATATGTGCAACCCAAAGTTGGTTAAGACTTCCTTAAAAGATTAAAACTCCACCGATTAAATTAAAATCTTGAAAGTGTATCACATTCCCTTTCATTTTCGAAGTATCACACCGAAAGTATAATGCTACACGCAGTCTACAAACGAATCGTGAGCTACCAAAAAAAAGACCTAATCGAGCTTAAACATCGGAGTAACTAGTCATAATAGTAAGCATTACAAATCACAACAGTCACTTTCGGCATAAGTAGATATTGTTTCAGGTTTGGGAAAAGAGGAGGTTCACTTCACTCTATGTAGAACTTTTTCTGAATCCGCGGAAGCACTTTTCCAGACGACCGTTTTACCTCATAGCTGAGGTCAACGTCCATTAACCGGTGATTTTCTTTTGAGCGACTCATTGAAAAATCGAATGTTATATTGTCCCCACTTTGAACTTGCAGAGGTGGATGCAGTAAGAACACCTGCAGTATAATACATTTCGTAACAACATTCACTCGAACTATAGATGTGAAAAATAATACAACTGTGAAGACTGACAGGAAATGACAAACAAGATTAAATTCTTCAGCATATTTGGTAGGCTTTCCAAAAATATTCGGCTTAGAATTTCGGCAAAGTTGGCAATCTTTAGTAAAAAAAATTCTGGAGGTTTGGTTGTTTAATCCTATAAACTTTTCGGTGCAGCAATTTTTCTGTCCATTGTGATTTTTCCTTACAAAATATAGGAATTTCAGTCCTACAATGCCACACGCATTGTGGTGAAGTTTATAATTTAGACATCATTATGGAGAGAATAAATGAAATGTTGATATAGTTGGACAAAGTGGAACCAAATTAGAACTTATGTGATCAAAATTGCACCTGACGAAATTTAGACTGCGAAAAGTTCAAAACGTATGGCTAGGATTTAATAATTGCAGGCAGATTTCACGATAAACACAACAATTTATACGTTTCCGATCAATGAGTTGCGTGTTGAAATTTAGGGGAGTTAATCCCACAGAGGCAACTATTAATCGCAACGACCCTTGTTTCTTTGTTAGATGTAAAACTGAAGCTCGATATCAAGAAAAGCATTACAAACCTGCTGGCCCCAATGTGTACCAAAATACTCATCGGGGGCAGTCGTCAACTCGATTTCACGTTGAGCTGGATTCTTACTGCTACCCTGGGTAAAGTTTATCAATTCAAACCACGTTAATTAATTAATTAACCAATTGCATGAAATACATGCAATATTAGTAATGCGAGAAGGAGAATACTCACTCGAAAATGGACATCAAACCATCCGGCAAAGCCACAAAATCTTGCATTTTCTTGTGTGATGGATGATGAAATGCTTGCACGAACACTGCGTATATCATCAACACTAGTTGTCGAGCAGTCTATTTCCTTAATGATCACAGGTGTCCCTATTATCTGATTCGGATGAAGGTTGTTCCATATAGATGTCTACAAAGTAATTCAATAGCACGTGTATTAATTGAAAAAGATATTTACTAAACAAAAAAGTGCAACCGCGAAATAATTAATTGTTTCTTTATTATTTGCTTTTACTAAAACAAAAACAATATAAAAAGGGAAGGAAAAAAAAAAACCATTTTTGTTCCTTGAAACGTGAACGAATGTGTTGAAGTGAAAAAAAAAAACAAAAACAAAAAGAAAATTAAAACGGCAACCTGTAAATAATATTTTCTTTGTTCTTGGTTGAATGGATTAGTCAAAACACTCATGTCCACACCATAATAAGTTTTTGTCTCGTTAACAAAACTATGCCAATCCTTCATGGCTTCTTCATAATCGTTCATCTTGTGATCTACTATACCAGATCTAACTGGTGCCATCCACATCCGAGCATGACTTGGATACCTGCAAAAGTAGCTCAATCAACATCGAATATCATGCTCGTCAGTCATCAAGACTTAAAACTAAAAATAATAACTCATTCAAATTCGAAATTCATCAGTAGACAGCTCTATTTATTGATAAGCATACTTGGATAATACCTACGGATATAAACAAGTATATATTAGTACATGCATACGTGCATCTAATGTCATGTTTACTAACTTATTTAGTGATATGATTTATACTTCTTCTTCCACCACGAAAAGTTCTACTCATTTCTCATTCTCACATAGATTAAGAAATCCATTTAATACAATTCGTAAATTTAACACATTTCCCATGTTCTTATTATACACAAATATTTACACAAAAATATGTTTGGTAATTATTTAAAAGATGGGGTGATCATCCCATTGGATAGGTATACTCATACAAGAAGGAAAAAGAAAATGACACAAATTACACCCACAAGAAAGACTACAATTTCGAGAAAACAAAAAAGATGGAGCTATCTCACAATCACAATGGTCAGGAGGCTTATTAGGCAGAAAATGACACACATTAACCCCACAAAAAAAGACTACAATTTCGAGAAAACAAAAAAGACGGAGCTATCTCACAATCACAATGGTCAGAAGGGCTTATTAGGCTATTAGCTAATGTTACTGTGTCTTGAACAAATAAAAATGTGTTCAAATTCATAGTTTTAAGTGACGAATGGCGGCGATTCGTCCATGGCCTGGACAGGCGAGAGGCGAGGTCGGCGAGATATTGGTAAACAAGACACCGAAGCTTATAAAAGCAATAAAATAGATGGTGCAATTACATGTTTCAGTTAAATTGGCAAAATGAATATCAAATATCCTCAGAAAGAGAACATTAGAAGAAGAAACACAACATAGAATTTGAAAAAAAAAATAAATATTAGAAATATAATGAAATAAACTATTAAAAGGCAAAAATAAAAGAAGGGAGGAAAAAAATAAAAACAGAAACTAAAAATGAAAACAAACACGAAAAATGAAAATGAAAAAGAAACTGAATGAGAAATTAAAAATAAGGTCATATATTTATTTAGTCACTACACAAGCCCAAGTCTGACCTTATATTACTGCATGCCCTTTTGGAAATAAAAAACCTTCATGACCAAATCTCATCTACTTGATTTTTTTCATGTGCATCTTTGAAAATAAAAAACCCTTATGACCTGAATCGCCTTTGGCGAGAGGAAAGGCACTGTGAGGTTTCCGCCTTAGGCAGAAAAGGCAATTTTACATCCACCACTGCCGCCTCTCCCATGGCCTTGCCATTTAAAACGAAATTCGAAAAATTAAATATAACCAGAGAAATCCAAGAGAACTTCGCAACCAAGGCTATATATGATACAATAAAGCATATACCATTGTTCCAAAGGACTTCTAAGAGGTAGCAGTCGCTACAAAAATGTGATTGCAAAAGTCCAACTATGACAAATTGGTGATTATTCAATAATTTTGAAAGATATATGAGCAATATTATATTTTGTAATAAAAATGTATGAAAATAGCGGCACAGATACTTAATTGAGTAAATTTCCCATATGTACTCAAGTCTTGCACATTAGTTCATACCCTTGGCATAACTATTGGAGCATATTACACAAATGTCATTTGTAACACTTTTATGAATCACTATACTCACTATATACGGAAAAGCAAGAAACAAATTTATCAAAAGAATTAAAGAAATAAAACAAACTAACATGACACCATTTGGCTTCAACCAGCGGTCCCGTGCACAGATTACAGAGTCCAGCATCGACTCGCGTAACAGAAAGTACCCCATCCATTCTGAAATAATTACATCCACTGCCCATCCAAAGACAAAAAACTCTGTTATTTTTATATATCTATAAGTAGAAATTCGTGCAGTAAATGAGAAAAAAAAAAAAAAGAAAACAAAAAGAAGGAAAACAATAATTAAATATAAAGAGTTAACCTTTTTCTGGGAGAGTTACATCTTCCATTGATCCCTCTATGACTTCAACAACACTGTCTAGCTTGTTTGTTCTAACAAGTTCACGAGCATGTTCTGCCATCTTAGTGGCCTCAACTGCATAAACTTTGCGTGCACCTGCCTGTGCAGACCAAATAGCCAGAATGCCGCTCCCAGTTCCAACATCTAGAACAGCCTAATCCATGGATAAACCAACTAACTCAATCCAAAAACCATTGAATTCACGTATACTTAACTAATACTCAATCATTAATTTTGAACATGGAGTAAAATATCTTTGTAATGTTGTAAAGATGCCCAAACATGGTAGGTTCACTAACTACACAGTTTACTCATACGACACAAGAATAATATTATTGATAAACCGTCATATAAGATCTTATAATTAGTGTACCGGACATAACCAGCAAATCCATTTGTCATGTTCTGAGCACTAGAGTTTAGAATCAGAAAAGTAATTCTAAAATTTGAAACTGAAATCAAGAAAATTTCATTTACAAAACTGCATTAGGCAGCGTCTGCTCCCTTCAGTGTGTTTAAAACTTTAAGCTACGCTTAGATTGAGGGTTTTTAAATGGCTCCTCTAACCTAGTCACTTGTAATTCACTGCTTATCCCACCATTGACGACCACACCGTCCGCGAGTATGACTAATTCATCACAACCGCAACACCATCAACGATGCAAGCTGGATTTATAATCTTTTTCACAAATCCATTCAAGGAGTTTGAAAGTAGAAATTTCGAATTTCCAAAAACTCGAAATCAATAGATTTCAAATCCCTCAAAACGAAAGTAGCCTTAAAAAAAAAAGCTAGAATTGCTTGCAAAATAGAAAAAGTTGGAAACTTCAGATTATTTTTGTATGTCTAGTAAAATCACTCAATATCATACATAGATTAAAAGGTACGAAAGTTCTGATGAATCCTCCAACATAACGACAGGTTTCATTACAAGGAAGAACAAAAAGAGTGTACCTTTCCTTCGAAGTGGTGTTTATTTTCGAAAATGGCGTTGTAATAAGCGTCCATGCGGACTCGGTCGCAGAGCATCTCCTTCTGGTGGTAGAGAAAGCCATAGGTGCAGAAGTAGTTCGCGAAGTCAACTCCCTTGTCCACGACAACTCCATTGCCACGGGCGCTTCCCATTGTCGTGTTAACTCAATCTAACGAAGAATCTGACTTTAGCTGCGCAGACACCAGAAACAAATAAAGCCACCCAACGTTAAAAATCCGATAAATGAACCAGTTTTCAGTTAAAAAAATCCAAGAACGGAGGATTAAGCTTGAAAACCTGGAACTGAAAATGGAGCCAAGACGAGCGTGGTGTTGACGGAGTTTGAGCTAAGTAAAATTCCCAAATGGTTTCCTTGTCTTTTCAGCGGTGATCGGAAAGTAAGATGGAAGAAGAAAGAGATGTTATAAAATGGTCACCGGAGTTTCTTGAATAGAGTTTCAGAGAGGAGGAAAATTTCGAGCATGAAGAAGAGCCGCCGACCTGTGCTTCAAGTGTGAAGAATAGACTTGTGTTTATGGACGACGGAGAGGTTTTAGGTCAAGTACAATGAAGATTTTGACCGTAAAATCTCAAGACCAGTGTTTATAAACTAATTTTGACCACATATTTTTTTTTTTAACTTAAAATATAAATCAAATTTAACTCATTTATATCTATATCTATATCTATATCTGTATAATGGATCAATCTATTTTACTATATTTGTCACAAATTTTACCACCTAAATATTTCAGCTAAATTTGGTAATTACTATTAGACATTTATTTATTACATAAAACTAAAATTGATTAGATCATTAAAGAATTTGAGAAGATTTAAACTATTTATTGTTTTAATTAAAATTTGGTCTAAAGATTCGTGAAGATAAATTAATTTGTTATAATAATATACTAAAAAATATAAATGTATTAGTACAACTTTCAAAATATTTAAACTAATTTTTGCTTGAAATAAATTTTGGTCTCAAAGATATGTGAACATAAATTAATTGTTTTAATAAATACCCAAAGATATAAATGTATTAGTACAAGTTTTGTTTTGACGATTGAGTAAATATAAAAAAAAAAAATCAATAGTAACATATTAACACACACACACACACTTACTTGAATAGAATGATTGATTGATTAGATATACTTTGAATAAGATCAATAATATCAATTTCATAATACTTCTGATGACATAATTTAAATAAAAAATTACCCATTATAATTATAAAAATATTGTGATTAGTTTTGTTATCATCTCATGGTTGTATATATGAATTATGATAATAATAAAAAAACACTTAAATATAATAAAATAATAAAAATTATTATGTTTGAACTATATTAGCTTAATGAAAGATTTAAAATATAAATAACTTTCATAAAATATAGTCAACTTAACCATGAATAAACTAAAATCTAATGAATATATATTAATAAATTATTTTTTTATCGTCGGGTAAAATTAAGAATTATAATTTTCACATTAAAATATCTATATACACAAAAAATACTATTCAAAGTGTTAAAAAATAAAATTTTTATTATTTATCGTTTTATGAAGAACAATGAGTAAATAAAATTCTATAGTCAAATAATAATTGAAATTATAAGTTTTTTTTTTTTTTTTTGGCCAGAACGATAGAGATATTATATAAAACGCACAAATGTGCAAAGAGCAGCCAACAGCTGAATACAAACAGCCAACGGCTGAATACAAGCAGCCAATAGCTAAAAAGTGAGAGGACAGGTCCAAAGACCGCCTAGAACCGACCCCAAAATACTCAAAATCACTACAGAACACTAAAAAACAACACAAAGACCCCAACAGGGTAAATACCGAGTGTCGGGCTCCAACAGGGTAATAAAGTTGACACTTGGGCACACTGGGGCCAACGACCCAAACTAAAAACACAGGACAAGAACACACAGGCAAAACGCCCAACCA